ATGGTTAATATTGCATAGGTGYAATATACAATTTTTATTTTAATATTATTTGTTAGGTATTTGAAATAATTAACTGACGTATAATATTCAACACAGACGCGTAGTACAGTTTGAAAATATTCATCGCATAATTGAAAATAATAATAAACGTAGCAGTCAATATTTCAAGTCCCTATACGTTTAATAATGACTAAGTACAGCAAAATAATTAAACTTAACTTGAACTTAAATCGCTCACAAAAATAGTATGTGACTTTTGTGTTAGACTTTTCATTTTTAGTACTACAAACTTATGACTTTAAGAGGAATCATGTTTAAATTTTCAACCCGAAAAAATTCAATAGCAAAAACTTTTGAAAAATTTCAAATATCTATAGTTGGCACAAAAAAAATCTAAAATATTTTGAAAAGTACCTATAAAATATATATGCAGAATTTCAAGATGTTAATATTATATTTGATGAAAAATTCAAGTTTATTCATTAAGCTATTCATTTTTGAATTACAGCCAAAACGCTTAATCAATTTTATCAACAAAATATTTTCATGTACCTAAATTATTCATTTTTCTATAATTTTTTTTTTCAATTTTTCCCGAATATTTTGAAAAATACTGGGAATTTTTTTATTTTGGCTTTCTGAGATAAATAGGTTCCAACTTGATCCAGTTTGCTACCAGAAATCACTCTCAAAGTTTTAGATTGAATCATTTTTTTCTCCATAAAAAGTGCACACACAAAAAAAAAATAATAACTCATTTCATTGTAAAACCAATACCTACATTCATCGCTCCACTCAGAAATTAAAACTGTGTCAATTTATTATTGAAATGTCTGACCCACTTGCTTTTCTTCATCTTAATCATTATATCCGTTCACATAACACAACTGGATAACAAAAACCCTGCGCGGGACTATATGTTAACTGTCCAAAATGTGTGTCCAGGCACGAAAATATAGGTTCAAAATACAACAGTAAATTAAGATCGAAAATGTATATAATTTAAGAACTTAATGAAAACAGTTGAAAAATATTTTATTTCAATTTATTTTAATATTATTTTTACATTGTAAGCGTCGTTAAACTATTACCTAAGTAATATTATATCTTATTATTAAATTGAAATTTTAAAACATTGTTAGAACAAGTTGCAAAATTATTTTTAATGTACCCATATTATGAAAAAAATAAAGATAATAGAATAATTAATACTTATGACATGAAAAGTTTATTTAATTGTAAAAAAAAAAATATTCTTATAAAGCGTCATCATATGATAATAAATCGATAAGTTTTTGAATCAATGATGGCTGTTTGTATTATTATTAAATCTTACTTTTTTAATCGTACTTTCGTATGTGGTATAAAATCATTAAGAATAAGCGAATGTAAATATAATGTTAAACTATCCAATTTGGGATACAAAATATTTTCAATTAAAAAAAAAAGTAGATAAAGTTGAATAACGAGTTAAAATATAAATTAATTATAATCCACGTTTCTCAAAATAAATAAATTATTAAGCATTATACTTTTTAAAAAATAAAGTGGCTCATCGATTTGAGAAGAACTTAATCAAACTATCAATGTGTGTGATTCAAATAAATGTATACGCGATTCATTTTTTCAATGTTTACGTATATTTTTTTAATAATATTACTACTCGTAAACTTACATAAGGTCAATACGATTTATATTATTATGTACCCTTTTGCCGAGTTATTTGATTTAAAACATTTAACAGTGTGGGGGCTCATGAATGGAATTCTCATTTATCAGACAGTAAATAATAACATATACTTACATATCGTAGATACTAAGTAGATATAATAGTCTGGTTGTAATATAATCTTATATTTAAAAAATATCGATTTGTATAATAAAATGTAAATTGTAAATATGTAAAGTTTTTGTAAAAAGCTAATAACCTGTGTAGTTGATGCTTAACTAATTTAAAAAAAAATGTAAAAAAAAAAAATTGTCTGGTTAACAATATTAGTAAACTGAAAACACAGAACTTTAAAATGGTATTCGATAAAAACAGAGACGAATTTTCCCCTACTTGCTATATAAAATAATAATAATAATATTGTGTAACCTAACCTATCGCATGTATTATACTGCATCCACGAGGAGATTGTTCGTTCTGCGACGTATTTAATTTTAAATCGTTCTATATTGAAACTGAGCCTATAGTGTATTTAATTTCTAACTTGGTATATATATAGATACTTATGTATCTATTAAAATAAGCTACCGAAAATAAAATGTGTCTGTTATCACCACATTCTTGTTCAAATTTTTTCTGTTGCTCAAATTTAATGGATAATAATATAATATACCTACATTATTCGTGGGATCCGTTATTAAATTCGATCGTTTGAATTATAGCGATCAAAATCATTATTTTCACTATTTGTATCAAGTGAYATATTGATACATATTGATACGCACACAAAACTAAAAAAAATATAACACGACAATTTTTTTTTTTTACTGAAAACTTGACAGAGCAGCTCCGCTAAATTTCGTAAACGGAATCCTCAGATAAAAAAACAATATAACATACTTAATATGTATAAATAATGAGATTGACAACAACAGTAAACTGAAACAACAATGAACACAGACATTTTAAAGTGGCGTTCGACGAAAATTCCTGGACGAATTTTYCCCTACTTTCCGTATAAAACAAATAATAATAATATAATGTAACCTAACCTTACCTAACCTATATATTAAACGGTAACCACGATGATATTGCTCGGTTTGCGACGTATTAAATTTTAAGTCGTTACGTATTGAAACTGTATAGCGCATTTAATATCTAACTAGCTATATACATATATATCTGTGTATTAAAATGAGCTACCGAAAATAATACGATGTCTGCAGCTATCAGCACATTCTTGTTCACATTTTTTCTTGTGCTCAAATTTAATATAGATACCTATACTTAATATTAATACAGTATGCACAGAATCCATTATTAAACTAGATCGTTTTAAACTATGGCGATAAGAGTCATCACACTATCTGGATCGAGTGAATGATACGTACACAAGGCTAATATA